TCACAAGTAAAAAAGATATATGTGCTGTTGGTAAGGAGAAAGCTGGACTTGGGGATTCAGGTAAAGCCTGTGGATGGGGTTAACTCCCCCCAAAACAGCAGATTTGCAGTTGGGAGTGTTCCCTAATTCCCAGCTGTTACTAAAATTGCACGTGATGACTGTTGGCTTGTGTGCCAATTCTGATCCTTTTTGAGTTTATCAGACTTAGCAACAATTAAGAATTACTTGCTTGCATTCCATCTTGGTGACTGCACCAAGCTTTATGTGAGGGCTGTTCTTGAAAGGTGTCTAGAAATTGTAATTGGTGCAAATGCAGTGGTTAAACTGCTGACCTGTAGAAGATTCATATGATGCTTGAACTGAAAGATCTGTACTGATTGGTTATTCCCAACAGACACAAGTTAAGGTACTGATTTGACTTCTACGGGCCTAAATGGCTTACAACATATGCATCCTTCTTGTCCCACTATGAACTAGCCTGGTTCCTTACACCAGGAGGAGCACTCCTGTGGAAAACTGCACTGTTGCCAAATGCTCATCTATCTGGGACACGGCACAGGGCCTTTTCCTGGATAGTCTGCAGGCTATGAAACATACCCCCTACGCCCTCACTCCCCTAGTATTTAGGAATCTGGCAAAAAACTCATATCTTTCATCACCAAGCTCTTAACTGTCAATTGAACTGAATTTTTATTTTAATGATTCTGGAATGAAATTTGTTTATTTTAATTGTACTGCTAAACAGTAAATTATGCTTTATAATTTGTATTTTAATTGTAAGCTGCCTTATGTGTTGGAAAATCATAAAGCCAAGCTATAAATCAATGCATCATAGATTTTGTATATAACCAGCTGGCTTACCAAATTACTAATTAACTTAATTGTTCTGAATTAGCCATTCTTAGAAGGTTAACACAAGAGTTGGAAAACAGTTTTATATATGTTGCTGAACTACAGTTCCCAGCAGCCCCTGCCAACATGGTCAAAGGTAGGAATAGTAGTTACAGCAGCATCTAAGGGACAAAGATTTCCTATGTCTGGTCCAACATTTATCCAGGTACTCGCAGACTCACCTCCACCCCTATAAAGGATTCTGTTCTAGAATGAAGTGGTTTTTGAATTCTCTCCATATGCAGTGAACCTGGATTGCATACTGCATCGGTGAGCAAAAAAGAATGTGCAATAGGGAAATTATAACCTGAATAAAGCTTATCCTTGGTATCTAAGCTATTTTGAATTTGTTTATGCTTTTAAGTAAGCCACAAGATGTAAAGACTCAAAGTTGAATCAAGAGGTTTTATTTTTAACACCTTTGTTTGTCTGCTTTTACAAATTCCAAACCAAGATTCAAACATTAAAAACCTGTTTTTAATGGCAGGTTTTACTTTCTGCTGGTCATGCTAGAAACAGAAGGTTGTGACTTCTGTGACCCAGCAGTGTCTTTCTTACGTAGTTGTTCAAAAATCGAAGTTATAACTGGGCTTACAGCTCTAATTAATAAAAAGGGAATGGGGCAGACTA